AACTATTCCTGCTGTTTTGGTTAAGTTTGCTTTTTTGAATGTTTCTTAATTGTTTTTTGGTTTGTTCTTTTCTTTTGCCTTTTCTTTGGTGTTTTGTATTTTTAGTTGGTGGGTGTATTTTATTTTTCTTTTTTGGAAAGAGGTCCTTTTTATTCTTGCTTTGTAGGGTGTGTGAGTTAGGACCTCTTTCCCGGTTTTGTTATTTTTCTTTGTGTTAATAAAATGAGAGCAGATTTATGCTCTTTAAAAAGGAAAAAAAAAAAAAACTTATCACTCATTTGACTATTATTTTAGCAAAAAATTAGTTATTCTCTGGTAGCTCTGCTTGTTTCCATTACTGCCTCCACTAGATCTATACGTTCTCATCTGAATTCTTTCTCACTTCTCACAAAAAAAGTTTGTCAACTACTATAGTTTTAGTTTCTCATGAGATTTTCTCTTTTGTTTCAGCTGTAACTACTCATTCTGGTGCATCTTGATTTTGTAGATTTTGGTGCTTCTTCTCATATTATAGTTACAAAAAAAACTTTTTCATTATTTATAATGATCTTCTCCCCACCTATCATTGTTATTGATAGATCTTTCTCACTTTTTGCTTAAAATAGTATTTGTTCATCCATAGTTTGATTTTAGAAATGTTTTATTGTGTTCCACAATTTTCAATTAACCTTCCATCCATTCATTTCCTTGACAAATATCATAACTAATCCATAACTTTTTATCCTTCCCAGCGTGTTTCTTCATGAACTCAGCATGAAGCGTCCAAATTCCGCATAAAGTTATGATTCTTAACCTTCATAATCAATCAACTATTTATATTGTAAACAATCCCATGTTCCATATTGAAATTGATTGTCATGTCATCAGAGATGCAATCCCGCCAAAGAAGATTATCACTAACACACCACTAGTGAAGAGCTTAGTTGTTATCTTTATTGAGGCTTTAGGACCCTTCTATTTTTCCAATTTTTGTAGTAAGCCGAAACCTATTGATATATATGCTCCTGTTGAAGGGAGTGTTACTGTAGGAAAGTGGTAGGCTTAGAAAGATTTTATTATATGAAAATTCAGTCAGTGTTTCTTTCATTGCCAGGAATTGTTTTGTTTTTTATTACTTCTTTGGCATATTCCAGCTTTTGTTAATCTACGTTTTCATAATAAGGGGTAACAAAGTCACTTTTTTGGTGGATTTTCATGCTTTTGAGCTATTATTTATGCTCTTATGCATTTCTCAATTATTAACTTGTTTACCATTTTGCTATTTACAGCGGGAATTGTTCTTTTCTTTCTGGTTGAGAAGATTGTCAGATATGTTGAAGATAATTCTGCAAATGGAGCTATTGGCCTAACTCATGGTCATCAGCATCATCATCATCATCAGCGAGAAAATAAACTAAAACATGATGGCGAGGATGATAATCAGCAGCTGTCTGGTTCGAAAAGTCGAGAAACATTAGATACTTCAGAAATGGAATTCAATGGTCAATCTGTTGCAAGTTTAAAAAATGACATGCATGATAAACTAAAGAATCTTCGCAAGGTATATGATTTATTAAGCAGAAATAAATGAATTACAGGTACCAAATGAAACTTTACTTAAATAATAACCTTACCAAGGTTCAAATCCTTCATGGTATTTTCACATTTTAGAGTTAGTTCTTTTGTGCAATACAAGCCATTTTCCTGTTTCTTAAAAGGATTTTCACGTTCTATTTTCTTATGATACGCCGCTTTCCACTCATTTTTCTATATATTCCATTCCAATTGAGATATTTAATGAACTTATTTTATTGGAGCATAGTGGAAGATGATTAATTGATGTTGAAAAATTGTTCCTAATTTGCATATTATCATATGATGCATCATCTTTAAAAACTTTTGAATACAAAATTTTGAGAGTTATCTTCATTGAACATTAAGATAAAGATTTTCTTAATCTTAAAAATTATAACTTATTTCATCATTAATCTTATTGTTTGGGTTAGCTTTATGAATATTTATTTATTGTTTTTTTTGTTGAATGACACCCCCATTTTCGGGTCCCAAGCGTCGGATGTGAAAAACGGAAGATTGCATTAGGTAGTTGACAACCATCATAAAATTTTGCCAAAAAATCATGACATGAGACATTTAAATCATTGTGTAAATGCTAGGGTATACTCTAGAAATGACGAACTGTATGATCTGAATATTGTGAAAAGTTTGCTAAGGCCGCTATATTAACTCTCGGTTGTAGTGTTAAATAAGTAAGGATTTCCACATTATGGATGGATGCGGACAAATAAGTTAGTCTATGAAACTAATATTAGGATATGATCTTCTAATATAGATACTATTATAGAGAAATTAATGGAATTAGTAGATATTATGGTTAATAGAAAGATGAATATATTAGACATTTAAAAAACTAAATGAGTCGGAGAAAATGTTAAGGAGATTGATAGCTTAGGCTTTAAACTTTGGTATTCAGCCATGAATCACATTAGAAATGATGTAAGTGTAATTTTAGATGAGAGTTTAAAGATAATATTATAAAAATTAATAAAATTGGAGATGGAATTAGTCTTAAAGGTCGTTGTTAATACTAATATTTTTAATATTGTAAGTGCTTGTATTTATTTAAGTAGGTTTAAATATAGGCTTAAAAGAGAAATTTTGGAATGAACTAAAGAAATAATTCCAATGATATTTCTTAAAGAAAAAAATTTTATTGGAGGAGATTTAAATGATTATGTTGGTAGAGTGGGAAAAGATTTCAGAAATATTCATGATATGTATGGTTTTGGAGTTATTAATGAACGAGGTATAATCATATTAGATTTTGTTTTAGCTTATGATTTTGTTATTGCTAATACTTTATTTAAGAAAAAATATGAACCTATTATTACTTTAAGAATAAATCTAATAAAACACAAATTAATTATTTTTTATGGAAAAAAAGATCATCGATAATGTAAAGTTTGTAAGATTATTCGAGTACTTAACATCGATTATTAGTTCTGAGTTTTAAGATGAGTTGGAATATAAAAATTATAATGAAAATTTGTCATAGAATTAAATGGGGCAACTAAAAAAGACAAATGAAATTAATTTTATGAGTAAACTTCGAGATTTCAATATTTGGAATGTTCATGAAGAAGTAAATTCTATGTTGGATAAAATAATATGAACTATTAAACAAGTTGCAAAAAACTTTGGAGAATAAAATGGATAAAATTTTATAAATAAAAATAGGTGGTGGTAGAATAATAATGAGCAAGGAAAGATAAAATATAAGAAGTTTTGTTATAAAAATTAGTTTAAATGTAAAACCTTAGAGTACTAGAAAAAATATATGGTGACCTGTAGGAAGTCTAAGAGAATAATTTATGATCCTAAGTCTTCTGCTTTTTGTTATCTTTATAATGGATTTAATACTAAAGAAGATGAAATATATATGTATGAATTAGCCAAATAAAAAGAAACGAAAAATAAAGATTTAATTCAAGTGAAACGTATTAAAGATGAAATTCGAAAAGTGCTTTTCTTAGAAGATATTCAACATAAGTGAGCGAGATATTTTGATAATCTTTTCAATAAATTTTTTGATAATACAATCAGCCTTAGTGATCTTAGCATCATTAATAATAATAAAAACTTTTTATTTTTATCGTCACAATAGTAAAAAGAAACTTTAGGAGGCTTTAAAGAAAATAAAGGGTGAAAAATTAGTAGAAATTGATGATATCTTATTAGAAGTGTGGAAATATTTAGGAGATTTAAGAGTTTTTTAGCTTACTAAATTTCTTAATATTATTTTAAAAATTAAAAAAATCCTTGCTGAGTGGAGGAATAGTATTTTGGTCCCCATTTTTAAGAATACATGGGATACACAAGAGTGTAAAACTATAAAGGAATTAAGTTAATGCATCATAGATTAAAATTATGGGAGAGTAATTGAACATAGGTTGAGATGTGATACAAAGATGGATTTATGCTAGGCAAGTCTAATATGGAAGATATACATTTATTGAGAAGTTTGATGGAGAAGTACACAGAGAGTAAGGAGGATCTACATATGATTTTTATTGATTTATAAAAAGTTTACGATAAGGTTTCAAGAGAAGTTCTTTGGAGAGTTCTAGAAAATAATGGTGTTTAAGTCATTAAAGATATGCAAAACATAGCTGTTACTTGTGTTTGAACAAAAGGAGGATTGACCAACTATTTTTCTATTTCAGTCGGATTACTTCAGGGATCGGCTTTAAGCCCATATCGTTTTGCTTTAGTTTTGGATGCTCATACTGAACATTTACTTACAGGAGGGTGTACCTTGGTGCATGCTTTTTGCCGATGGTATCCTTTTTTTGGATAAAACTTGAGAAAGAGTTCGGGAAAACTTGAATTATGGAGGTCTACATTATTCTAAAAGCCTTCGTTTGTGTAGATCTGAAACTGAATACATGGAATGTAGTTTTAGTAGTAGTAGATTTAGTGGTAGAGTTGTAACAATGGGTGTTCAAATCATTAAATTGTGTGAACTTTTTACATACCTCGGTTCTGTTGTTCAAAGTGATGATGATATAGATGGGGATGTTATTAGTAGAATTTAAGTTGGATGGTTGAAGTAGAGGAATGCATCGGGCCTATTGTGTAATAGAAAAGTACTGCTTATACTTAAAGGACAATTTTATAAGACGGTTGTGAGATTGCGATGCTTTATGGTGCAGAATGTTAACCTTTAAAAGAGAAGCTTAAAGCCAAGTTAAGTGTTGCTGAGATGAGAATGCTTAGGTGGATGTGTGGCTTGACACTTAGAGACAAAGTGTGAAATGAGTGTATCCGTGAAAGGGTTGGTGCAGCTCTAGTGGCAGGCAAGATTAGAGAGAGTCGTCTTAGATGGTTTGGTCACATTAACGCTGACCACTTGATGATCCGGTTAGGGGGAGTAGTTGTTTTAGATTCAACTTTATAAGGTAGAGATAGACCTAAAAAGACCTGGGCATGTTGTATAAAAAAATGATCTTAATTTATTAGAACTAAATGAAAATATGACACTCAATAGGACTCAATGGACACTTAGTGGGATAAAGGTTGTTTGTTGTTGTTGTTGTTGTTTATTTTTGTTGAATGTTGCATTAGTTATTATTAAACCAACTTATGCAAATTTTTTTTTCACAATTTCTATTGGTGTTACCCGTTTTTCCCTAATCCTTAATTATTAATTTTATTTATCCATTTTTATTGGTGCATCTTATAATTGTCATTTGTACATGCTAATTGCCTCTCTATTTCTCACAACTTTATCTTCAATAGATGCTACAATTATTACCCCTTTCAGGAAATTATTTTTTAATATATCCTTTCTAATTTTATCACAGAGTTTTGATAAACTTTTGTCCAAATATCAGCTTAGCTATAGATGACTTCCTTACTCTCTAACCAAGATTCATAAAATATAACTTCATTTGTTATAGCTTTATAAAATTTACTTCTAACTTCTATGTTTTTATTTTTATTCATTATTATTTTTATTATTATTTTGGTATGATAATTTTGTAGCGCTGTTTTGTTTTAACCAGTCTTAACTTTAGAATGTATCTACTCATAGTTATTATATTCTATTTAAAGTATTTATAATATTTGAACTTATAACTTCGAATGAAAATGTTATCTTCTAGTATTATTTGTTCATATTTATTAGTTTACAATCACTAAAATTGCATATTATATACCTAATTTTTTTCTTTTATTAACCCTAAATCATTAATCTTCTTAACATTTTTTTTTTTTCATTTTTATAGCACTTATTATTTCAACAAAGGTCTCATTTATTAAAATGATATCATCTGCAATGATCATATTCTAATATGCTTCACTTTGATTATTTTTTACAAGTATCATCATAGTCAGAGAAAAGATACTGATAATCATGATCCTTGCATAGTCTGACTCTAATGGTACGAGCTCTTTTGGCGATAAAAAATTACTTTTGGTACTAGTTAATGCTTCATTTTGTGTATCGTGACAATTTCAACTTATTTTTGACACCCTTTGTTTTATTTAATGTGCACCAAATTTATTCTCTTTGTACTCCTCCATGTGTTGTATAAATTCAATTAAAATCTTATGAAGATTTTTTCTTAGCTCTATAGCATTTCCTTAATTGTCTTAGCATACAATTTTCTTCCATAGTGGAGCTTCCTAATTTAATACTAATCGCTTTTTTTTTTATTAAATCCATGTGACATATCTTTTTCCCATAATTTCATAGTGTGACTCATTAACTTTGATCTATTATTATTATTATTACAATCACGAGCATCTTTTTCTTGAGATACTAGCATCTTTGTTCTTGAGATGCTATGTGAAACCCCTTTAAGCAGAAAGAAATTGAACTCTTAAACATTAGACCCTGAAAAGTTAAGCGTGCTCACATGAGAGCACTTCTCGGATGGGTGACCTCTTGGGAAGTTACACCATTGGGGCAAAACTGTGAGACCACCAAACCAGAGCCAACAATATCTCAGTGCTTGGGAGTTGAGGATTTTACAAATAGTATCAGAGCATTACACTGGCCTGAAGATGAGAACTAAGCGTCATGCAGAACAATTTGCCACACCATAAGTGCCGCATCTTAAACCCAATATAGAACAAAGTGTTATATGGTGGGAGTCATGATCTCGGAGTTAACTCAAACAACAATAAATAAACAAAATATTATTACTAAAGAAAGTCAATTAGTGGTTTCAATTAACATATTGAAATAGTAAATAACAACAAACACAACATACATTTCAACTAGAGTCGTGTTTTAAGTTGGTGGTGGTTGGTTAGGGGGGTTTGAAAGTGGTGGTAGGCGATTGGAATGGTTGAAAGGCAATGGTTGCGACAGGGTAAGGGTTATGGGTGCAGCTAGCGTCGGTTCGTTGTGAGAGTTGGAGATCAACAGATTACTGTTTTTCGGATGACAATAGCGAAAGCGAAAGAGTGATGGCCCTAACAACAGGCAACAATGTGGGGAAAGTAGGTGATGGGTGGCCACAAGCCGGGAAGGGTAGATAAACAAGGATTGGGGTGGCTAGACTGCAGGTAAGCAATGACGGGGGATGGTAGTGGCTTCCGGAAGGCCGTGGGTTGCCAAAAATAGTCAGGGGAGGGCTAACAATTGATTCAGAAGGAGAACAACAGAGATTGTGGAAAGACGGTGGCCCGAAAGAAGAGAAATACAGGAAAGAACATCAACGACGACTGTTCTTGGTGGCTGTAGCGAGGAAGGATGCGCGACAGCGAAGCAAGGGATGTGGAGGAAGGGAAAGTCGAGGATACATACCATCTCAGGAGTGAGATATAACTAGAGCTCCACTCCACCCTTAGAGGAGAATCACCACCTTAGAATGAGATACAGTTGGAGCATCACTCGCCCTTGTATACAACCCTAGAAAGGAAAACATGGAGACGTCGACGACTGTCCCAACAAATAGCTCACATAAAAACATCTCTAATATACAAAAACAACATATATAGACTGAGGTAACTAAGGAGCAGTCCCCACTCATATGTGGCAAACACCTTTTCTTTGCTGATCCTGGTTTAGCCCCAACAGGGGAACTTGTGCTCCGTTCCAGGTTTAGATGGGGTTCCCGCATCGTCCAAGGTCACGAGATGTGACTCCTGCGTCGTCCCGTATCGTGGGTAGGACTCCCGTGTTAATCTCCCGGAGTTGGGTGAGCTTTGACCTTATCTATTAAAGCTTCCGACTCCTTGTAGTTATAGTCAAGTCTAATAAGTTGAAGTTAGCAAAAAAATTGTAATCCCCATACAAGTCAATCCCGTCGATAATGTAATTCCAAAGCACATCCTGATAAAATAGGTATCCACCCTATTTTGGTATGGTCATAACTGGAACTGCACGTGAATGAGTATCCTCACAAAAAAAAACTTCAAGCCATTAAATTTGTAAATGACTCCTTCCACTCATCGTACTTGTCTAAGTGTATCTGATAAAGTATGTAAGGGGTATTCAACTCTAGGATAAAATTTATGGTGGGCTAGACAACTCTCAATATTAACCACTCGGGAGTGGACTCTTTTTCTCTGGTAAAATCTGAATTACATTATCGAATTTTCTTTCTCATCAAGGAAATAAGGCAATTGCCAAATTTGTCGTTCATCCCTCCGATTTGGTCATCTGTTGGTGGGTAGGGCTGTCAAAAATGCTCGTCGTTTGTGAACAACTCGTATTCTAGTTGTTAAATAACTCGTGTTTATTCGTTAAACAAGCAAGCCGAACATGAATAATTTTTTTTAGCTCGATTGATAATTAATTTTTTCGTATTAGGCTCGTTATGGCTCGAAATGATTAAGTAATTAAATAGTAGTATTTATATGCGTTCTTTTTATATTAATTTAATGTGTATTTATTTGAGTGATAATTATATAAAATAAAAGTTTTGGTGTTAGATATGTGAATACAAAGAGTTTGGGTTGTATGTATGTAAATTTCCCTAAAACATATACATCCATTGGTGATTTGTTGAGCACTTATAGGAGTGGGAAGGATGGGGACCAAACATAATCTCAAGTATGTTTAGTCCCACATTAGGAACTATTGAAAATTTGCTATGAGAATGCTTTATAAAAGCAAAAAGTAAGTATATTCGCTGAAAGAAAACTTAATGAACCTCATGGAACAATTGAAATGAAGCATAAGAATTCTGAATAAGGTTCAATTAAAATAATTATTTTTTAATTTAATAATAATAACATAATTAATTACATTTTTTAGTCTTATGAAATGAGCAAGTTAAATTTGAGCTTGGCCGACCACAACCTTAATTTGAACAAATGAGTTTGACTCGACCAAACACGAACAATCTATGTACGAGCCATTTTGAACACTAGCTGAACATGAATAAAAAAATCAAATGAGTGGAACACGAACAAGCTTTGGGTTCGCTCAAGTTTGGCTCATTTACACCATTATTGGTGGTTATACTGCTGAATTAAATTTAATATATGAATAACTTCATATAGTCTCCCATCAATAACTCACAAAATTCTTATTTCTGACATGTTGGACCACTTGGTTAACTAGCTAATAGGTGAATTGTCAGTTAGGAAGTCCGACAATTCTATCAACAAGAGTTGTTCACCTTTAGGTATCAGATTCTCAGACTCGCAATCTTTTAGAATAACCCCGACTAATCCAGTTAGAGTCTCTCTCATGGGCTTATCCTGAATCATTAGCATCTCTTCCTCATCGGTTTGAAGTTGAGGCTCATCTCTGACGTCTTCATTCTTTCATATGTCACTATCTATTTCTTCAATTTCTTTTTGCTCAGTGAAAGAGATCATTCCTCTAATTGGGCAATTTGATTCAATATGCCCAAATCTATGACACTTGAAACACTTCTTGGCATAAATAAATTGGGAATCCAGATGGGTTCCACCTGTTCTCCACTTGGTTTGGGAATGTAGATGGGTTCCACTTGTGTGCAGGTAGGGTTGGTATTGGTGGATGCTAGAAACCCTAGGATAGGACTTGGGTTATGCTAGCTTTAATACCAAATGCTACAACACTTCACCCAAAACACAATAAGTAAACTAATATTATTACTGAAGAAAGCCAATGGGTGAATACAACTAACACACTGAAATAATAAATGACAACAAACACGTCACAAAACTCAACCAAGGTTGTATTCCAAAAGGCTGGTGGTCAGTTAGGCGGGTTTGGAAGTGGTGGTAGATGGTGGAGTGTTTGGATGGTGGTTGGAAGGTGGTAGTTACAGCAGGGAAGAGGTTCGAGGTCGGTGTTTTGGAGGTGATAGATAGTGTCGACTAGCTAAGAGAGTCAGAGAACAATAGGTTACTATTTTTTGAATGAAGCGAAGGGGAATGAGTGACACTCGCCCTTGAATACAACTCTTGAAGGAAAAACTTGAATACATTGACGTATGTTTTGACAGAAAGCTCACAAAAATTCCTCAAAAACATGAAAAGAATAACATATATAGACCGAGGTACCTAAGGAGCGGTCCTCACTCTTTATATGCAGCAAACATCGGCCGACCCTTCTTCTTCTCTGCTAAACCCGGTTCAGCCTCAACAAGTGAAACCAGAGCCCCATTCCTAGTTCAGACGCGACTCCAACATTGTTAAGGGCAGCGAGACTCGACTCCCTCATTGTCCCACATCGCGAGTAGGACGCCCGCGTCAAGCCACCTCTTAAATATGTAGTGGTCATCTCTAGAATTCTATTAGTGAGAGTTTGGGGTTGTTACAAATGGTATCAGAGCATTACACCAGCATGAAGATGAGAATTAAGTGTCATATAGAACAAAATGCTAAGCCTCGGGAGCTACCTCTTGAATCTAAGAGGGGCAAAGTGCTATATGGTGGGAGGAGCCACCTTTGGAATATATAGGGGTTACCTCTAGAATGCTATCATTTTTATGGATGATTTTGGGTTTAGAGCACTGACAATGACGTTTGTTACTTAAGTGGGAGAGTTGTGAAGCCTTTTAAGGAGAAAGAAGCTGAACTTTTAAACATATTGGTTTAACGGTTAGAATTTCATTAGAAACTTTAAATTTAAATGTGCTCGCATGGGAGCACTCTTATGATGAGTGTCCTCCTAGGAAGTTACACCAATGGGGCAATACCATGAGACCACTAGGGCTATGAGGGCAATATGTCGATAGGTGAGAGTTTGGGTTGTTACAAGCTAGTTCCATGTTATTTTTTATTCAATATTTTGGTCTCTTAACGCTTAAAATTTTATTAATATTAATTTTTTAACTACATTACTCCAATTCTCAAAACAACTCTCCAAATCTTAGCAAGCATCTTATTTGGACCTAAATCTTGACATTTATTTGTCCTTGGATAAACTAATATGGAGGAATTATAAAGGGCAAGGTGTTTAGCTTAAGCTAACATGGACAGACTTTGTGCAAAAAAGTTTGGGTAAAAGAGAACTTCTGATGGAACATTCCAACAATAATTTTCTTGATTAAGAAAAAGGATTCATAATGTAGACTGTAAATTGTTAGGATATGGCTAACTTTGTTGATGATTAGAATTATAGTTTATATATAGACCAATATTCTGATTTCCTTAAATTGATCAAGTTCTTATTAGATTATAAATTAGTGAAGATACTCATTGATTTGAAACAAATTTTGTTGTTTGAGTTAACTCCGTATATTACTTAAAAAAATTATTAAAGGTTAGGTACTCCATTGGAAATATATTATATATGCATTATAAAAAATAAAAATTGAAATTATTTTTTTGCCACAGCCAGTGAAATGAATTATATTTCTAGTTTATGACATTTGGAAGTGTAGCATTATTTTTTAATAAAACCAAGTTTATACAACCGGGTGCCCGTTCGAAGGATAAATTAGAAAAGTTGATCAAATGCTTAATTTGGGCTTTTTGAAACAAGTGAAAATGCAGCTTATTTGTCTTTTCCACAGAGAACAATTTCTGATGGTGTCACCAGTGAGAATGAAAATGTTGACAGCAGAAATGTTCAAGGCATCGAAAAGCAGCCCTCTTTGAATGAGACTGTTCCTGTTCATACATCATCAAACTTGGTGTTTGGTTACCTCAATCTATTCTCTGATGGTGTTGTAAGTTCTGCATTTTGATTATATTATGCTTTTTCTCAGATGATGTTAAATTCGATGACTGGTGGTTCCATATAACAAACAGCCTTCTTGTTGTATAATACTACTAAAAGTTTTGGCTTTTTTGTTAATTTTGTAGCATAATTTTACCGATGGAATGGCCTTAGGAAGTGCATTTTTGCTTCATGGATCAGTTGGCGGTTGGTCTCGGACATTGTTTTTACTTGCACATGAGCTTCCTCAAGAGGTAGCATAGTTTCATTATGGCTGCGGTTAATTTTGGTATTTTCCATCTACGGCAGCAGTGTGGAATCTTGACCCTGCAGCACATAACAAATTAATATCACTATGCTTTTGTGTGGATAGGTAGGTGATTTTGGGATTTTGGTTCGCTCGGGATTCTCCGTCTCCAAAGCTCTTTTCTTTAATTTTCTGTCTGCTTTAGTTGCCCTGGCTGGAACTGCATTGGTTTGTTCCCTGTAACCAATTAAATTTGTGCCAATATTGCATGGGAGAAACCTGAAGCTAATACGTCTTGTTCTTATGCAGGCTTTGGTGCTTGGCAAGGACCCAGGACATTCTTCTTTGATAGAGGTGAGGGTCTCTCTGTTTTTAGTGCTTGTTTCTTATTTGCACCAAAATGCAATCATCCAATGATTGGTTGAAGTTTTCAAGGTTATTAATGCACTTTGCTCTTTTCATAATGATTTTAATTTGCTTTGCTTTTCAAAAAATGTGAGTATTGAAAGTTTTGCTTATGTATTCAAGAATCATTATTTACATATTTGCAGATTAGTTTGTCTAGTTTGTATGAGTAATGATGACTAAAATTCAGAGCTAAAAATACAAAATAATGTCCCAACATTCTCGTGGTTTGAGAGTTAAGTTGGCATGTTGTGGAGGATGGGAAAAGGATATGCACGCTGCAAATTTAGAATATTATTTTTTCTTAAAATTAGGGATACGAACAGTGCAAACCAGATGTAATAATATTTTCCTATTAGGATCTTAGTTTATGAAGCCTATAGTTTAGATTGTTGATTGTAGACAAGTAGTCATCTTTTGGAATAGAATTGAAGGTTATAACTCGCATATTGCTGATAAATTTCAAATTGAGTGATTAGTGCTTGAATTCATCTGTTTTAATCTTAGCATTATATTTCGGTTGAGAGTTTGAGTTTCATTATTTAGGGATTCACAGCGGGGGGTTTCATCTATATAGCGGTTGCAGGAGTCCTCCCAGAAATGCATGATGGGAAAACAACAATTAGAAGCACAGCTATTCAGTTGACCTTTCTATTACTTGGAATGGCTATTGCCTTCTGCATCTCTCTTATAGAATGACCTTTTTGTTATATGTATGGTTGCTGGAACCTTGAATTTCTATAGGGTTTTGTAATTTTCGTCTTGTTATATTTAATTGTTTATGTTCATTGTTGAATTGTCAATTTGAAGATTTATATTTCATTGCACATTTAATTGAAGGAGAATGCCTAGTGGCAATCATTATTTTTAAAAGAGAAAAAATGTGATTGAATCGGTGTTATAAAAAGGGCCAATTACATACATAGCACACAATTCTTGTGCATTTACATGCCACACCTCACTTTTTTATTTACACACGTAGCATTCAAATGTTTAATGTCATCTAAAAAATAGTATTATGATCAATTTTTAAGAGTGAAATACACATTTTCATGCATAATTTTGAAACACCAAAGTTATGTAAATATGAAAATTTAGATGTGAGATATATAAATATTCATAAGAATTGTCTGCTGCGTTTGTAAATTTCACTATTAAAAAGCAGTAAGATGCATGCTGTTCTTTTAAATCTGACGCTTGTTAATTGTTTGAATATTGTTTGATATGTATTAAGAGTTTACATTTGTTTGTTTCAAGCATTAGCCTGTTTAGAGTAATGATTGATGATATTTCAATTTTGACTTTCAAAAGCAATACAATTTTATAACTATCCCTGAAGTTCACATCCATCATCGATGAGTTCTTTTGCACAACTGTTAGTCTAGAATGTGAGTTATTACGTCTTGTAGTTGGTGGCTGTACTCTTAGAATAATATAGACGAGTTCTTTCGTAATCATGATTATTTGTATTTATTTTAGGTTTATTGTTATTTGCCATTACTATAGTATATAATTTTATGCTGTAAACTTTTTTGATTGTATAATAAATTTGTGTAATTTTTTTCATTTATATTGTGCTGTGCTAGATTATTTGTAAATATGTGTTGATTTGCATATAATTTTAATTTTAATGTTCTTTCTAAATAGATCTTAAATATTTGAGAACTGTATATATTTTGGTTGTGATTTAGGGTGGTTTCAGCTTGATCGTGTATATATATATATATAACCATTCACCTCAAACCTTGGTCAAGAAAGAGAAAATCCAAAATAGATAATAGAAAACCATGACATTTGCTTCATAAAGTGGTCTGCACGATCTCGCTTTGAACGCATCACGTACAAAGATTTCATTAGCAAGCGAGCCCAGCTTCAGAAAAACACAAAAACTGAAAAAAAATAAAAAAAATAACTACTGGTAGGTATTGTAAATTCCGGAATCAGAGCTACCAAGATATCTAAGAAAAGAGACGTGCGAACATGCAAGCCACACATAAATTTTATTATATCATAGCAATACATCAGCTAAAACATACAAAAATTTACAACAAAACGCAATCAATCTATCGAATAATTAATCGCTTCTTCCATTACAATCGCAAAGAAATAATTACAAGCAATAATGTACGCATCACCATCACGCCACTAATGAATAAGGACATCCACATCAAGCAAGTTATCAATACACAATATAACAATCCATGTAATTCTAACCTAAATGCACAATATTAATATGCAAACAAGCTATACATTATACTAAAAAAAAATACATGAAGTACATCACATCTATAACAGGTTTAGTTGTCTAACGAAAAAATGTGTTGATCCTATCCATATCAATGCAATTGTACTAGATTTGTAACTGTAACAACAATAAATATAATAATAATAATAATAATAACAACAACAATGATGATGATAATGATGGAAAATGACACAAAAAAGAAAAAAAAAAAGAATAGCGGGCTAAGTTCATTTAACTTGTACAGACTGTGGGCGATGGTGAACTGAATAAGACTTAAGCTCAGCTGAAATAGGAAAGCATCATGGTCATCTCTCTGACACTTAGTATTGATGAATTAAGCATGGGATCTGGGAACATTGTGGGCTGGTCTTCTTCCAACGGCTCCATTGGATGCGCTATAGGCTTGAACTCGGTGACACATTCAGTCTCTTCACTCTCTTCCTTCAACACATCAGCATAATAATCATTTCCAACTTTATTTCTAATCAAACTTGTCCCCTCTTCCTCCTCTTCATCTTCCTCTTCATGTTCTCGGTTTTCCTCTTCCTAAATTTAATGCCAAACACAGTTAGGGAAGAGTCATAATCGCTGAAAAAAAAACAAGAGAGAGAGAGAGAGAGAGAGAGAGAGAGAGAGCCAGATGCAGAACCAAAGGAATACTTGAGTAGGGTCTTCCCTTCATGTAGTCTGAGGAAATAGATCCCATTATTTTACTTCTTTTATTCTGCTTTTTCTTTCTTACGACTGTTGGAAGATTTTCTTTCTTGATTTCGCTTCTTCAGCTTATTCCTCATTGTGAAGAGAGCTGATTAATAAAAGCTGGATTTCTGCTTTCATGCCAAGCACTCAGTCTTCCATGTTCGCTTATTATCTATTCATATTGATCTCTCTATATCAGAAGGAACTAATTTATTAATTTGGGTTCAACGAGGAAGGGACTACTTTTAAACGGGCGTGGGACTCACTATGCTTCACGAGTTGACGGACCACTGATTATAAAGAAATTATCATTTTTTTAATGCAAAAATACATGAAACAAAATATTTACTTCAAATAAAAATATATTTTATTGAAAAACTCAAATTTTATTTAAACATAAATCATTACTTTAAGTATAATTTTAATATTAAAAACGTGAATATATATAATATATATATATATAAACATGCACGTACACCCACAAGATAAACTAGTAATACATATAATATTCAAATAGACGATGTTTGTACTTCATCATACCGAATGATTTCCTTACAATTTAAACTTTAATTGTGTCAACTTTGTTGATCATATTAAACCATTTGAAACAAAATGGAAAGCTCCAAATCCAATCTGCACATAATGTTCAATATATATAAGGTTTTTTAAACCTTAAAAATCTTCCCAATGGCTAAACTTTTACTGTAAAGTTGCTACTTTGGTTCTCATATGACTTATAGTTTTATTATAAATGATAGTAAAAAAAAACTATAAAAAAATCAAATAAATTCGTGAAACTTAGATTATATTGAGGCATCAGAACCAAAGTTTTTCAAACTTGTTTAAGCCGTGGGGTTACCTTTATTGCCCACATAGGAAGGCCGAATTTAGATCAAGCATTTTAATTTTAGACTCTCATTTTACTTGGTAACTCTTAGCTTAGGGTTTCTTTTAGATTTTTCAAATCCATTACCTGATCTTTTTCCTCTACATCTCTATTAACATCACTTGTAGCTTCTAAATCCAGGAAAAAAAAATTTAAACCTTATTTAAGCTCCATGCCAAATTGAACTAACATGAATTTTTTGAGTCTTGCAAAAATTGGTTAAGGCTACTACGATATGTTGACAAATACAAATGAGCAAGTTCCATAACATGAGAAAGGTATGTGTGTGTGTTATTTCAACATATGGGGTGCAGGGTACGGTCGGCCTAGTTGGTTGGGTTAGGATTGCCGCCCAAGGCGAGTGCTCTCCCACCTCTTAGTTATATATATATATATATTATTTTCTTTGATTTAGGTTCAATTTTTGTTTCAATCCTTTCTCTTGCTAGAGCTATATCCGAGGTGGTGCTTTGGTTCTATCTTGCTCCAAGGAGATGATTACATCAAAAATTTCCCTTCCCCTTTCCTCTTGCCTCTTTACAGTCACCCTCCTTACACATCCCGTCAGGTTGTTGCCGCTCCTCATTGCATCATTCCCTTGCTGCCACTGCCCTCCCTGCACCATTTCAGCCTGCCACCATCTTTCCAAATCTATCTTGATGTTGCTCTACCGACTGTCCTACCTCACTCTAATGCGGGGCTCATAGGGGCCTGTTGGGTGGAGTTCTAGCCTAGTTGGACCGATTGATCCTCGAGGGGGGCCTCACCACCCCCTCCTTCCTCCCCTTTCTTTTCCTTTTTTCTCCCTTCACTTTTTTTTTTCCTTTTTTTCATTTTTTTCCTTGCTAGACCTTTTTCTAATTTAAATCCTTTCCTAAAAGCCTAAATCATGATATTATTCTCCTTCTTTAATTTAAATCTTTTCCTAAAATATGAAATATAATTTTTATTCTCCTTTCCTATTTAGAAGACTTTACAAAAATCTGAAATATGATTTTTATTCTCCTTATTTGAAATGTTTCCTAAAATAAGTCATGTGTTTTTATAAATAGGAAATGATGCGCTTTGATTTAGGGGTCAGTTTTATAAAATTTGAATTTAGTTTTGTTTGAGTATTTTCCATACTGAGAGTTGTATCCGACGTCAAGGTAGTGCTCGTCCCTTGTTCAAGGTGGTGATCATCTGCACAGGTCCAGGCGGTGCTCCGGCTGTAGTTTTTTCCCTCGGAGATATTTATCTCTCCATCCATCCTCTTGGTTGCTGTCATACTTCTTCCACAATAGCCCCACCTCTCTAGCCTTCACCGCAACCACCAATCCAGCCTCCGATGACATTTTTACTCCTCTCCAGCTGAGGTTCGATGTCGTTACCATCGCAACCCTTGCTGACACCACCCAGAACAACAAGGATCTACTGTTTTCCTGCCTCATCATCGCTGCCCTCACTATCCCAGCCCTCCACCTTCACTGCCACAGCATACAACACCTTTGCTTTATTGTTTAATTGTTGTCTAAATGTCCCAAACAGCAACTGGGTTGTTTTGACTACCACCCCAAGCTATCTTGTTGTTCTAGCGGCTGCCCATCCCTACTACCACTTCCCTACAGCTGCAACCTTCTTAGCTCAGCCACCAACCACCGTCCAACAGTCTCTGTCCTCGTCGTCCCCTCCGGACGTCTTTTATTGTTTGTGTTTTCATGTTTGATTATCGTCAATTTCCTATTTTTCCGTATCGTGTTTGTAATATGTTTGGAATTCATAGATAATATTTGTGTTTCCGTGTGATTTGAGTTAACTCCGTTATCACACCCCTAGTGGGGTATATCTGTTATTTCTTATTTTCTTTCTGTTTTATGGTCTTGATTGTAATCCTTGCTTTGCGTGATAAAATGTTCTTCGCCTATTGGGTTTTAGGTTATCTTCGGTATCACAGACACTAAAGGTTTAAAGGACTCAAAAACCCTAACGAGATTGTCAACAGTCGAGCTCTTGGGATGAGCTCCATGGTGAATGAGATTCAAGGACCTAGAAAGTAAGCGAATTTGATCTAAAATGGTAATTTATTGAATGAGCCATCAAGATACGAGTTTCTTGGGAGAAGTTACTAATAAAAGGAGGCCTCTCATTAGAAGTCACTAGGACATGTGACTTCCCAAGTAGTGGTCTGCCAATAGATGAAGGTAAGCCCTCAAGTCATTACCAGCAGCACGAGGTGGGAAGATCTCAAGCAAAAAAGAAAGATACAGACATGCATAAAAATGAAGGAAGAGGAACCTAAGCATACCCTTTGCAATCATAAATTCTAGCAGAATCCATCCCTGACAAACATTTTTATTTCAATTAGACTAGCATCGCTATAATTCCCATTATTTGGAGAACAACCCAAGTTAAACTATATAATGAACGAGCATCCATCAATTAAAAAATTCAACTTAAAAAAAAATCATTACTAGTAGATTAATAACCAAAGACTTTTATTTTACCTTGTAATGTGAGATTATTTTTTAGCACTCCAGTGTACGTGCAGGCCACTTTACATGCAGTAATAAAGCAAAACATTTCACGTTCCAGAAGGTGGAAATTTGCAGGAAATCATTAATGGCTAATATTTCCATTTTGTTACTTTATGGTAAGTTTGGTTTAGACATTTACACAAAAAATTAAAACAAAATAAAAAAAAATAATAGGGCAAGACAAAGAAAGGAGAAGAATCCTTCCCATCAAACCGTATTCTACATATAAAATTCTAGTACTTGTAAATGCTGATGATAATTTATCGCTCATCATGGATAGTTGCAGTCCTGCAACCAAAGCTAAAAATGCAACTTAGTGCAGGACTTAATTAAATAAAACAAGAAGCTCAAATCCTCACCAAAACGTTATACGAATCCAAGAATAACCCCAGAACGCAGTGGACAAAATTATTCCCTATAGAATTGAAGAATATCAATCCCAACATGATGGCCAGAGCAACTTTATATCAATTTTTCTTTCTTGAAATCAGTTCAATCAAATTGCCGCCGGCGAACGGCGGAGCTGCTTGATGGTGTATTGGCGCAGCCCACGGCAAGCGTAAAAACGCCGGCTTTACTTCATCTTTCAATGAGAGGAAGGGATTCCCAATGCCGTTCAGCAAAGGGGTGGCCGCCGCTGCAGCGTCCTCCTCAAAAACCTCCCATTCCTCCGTCACCACCGTTACCGACCTCCGATCATACGGTTTCTTGCTTCTTATGTCTTCATCCTCCTTGCGATAATTTTCGTCCTCAGCACTCCCAGGGACGCCACCACGCACAAGATCCTCGAGGTCGCGGATGTCTTCCTCAGGTATGGACTCCACGGGAGGAATCTCGGCAGCGTTCAGCACGCCCAGGCTACGGCATAGACCGAAGAATGAGGAGAGCTGCTCGTTTTGCTTTGCAGCTCTACGGAGCACCCTCATCCCGGCCATACCAAGTCGTCTCCTTTCTTCAGGGGGCAAAACGTTCTTGGCCTTTGAGGAAGCGGCATCCGTCAGGGAGGCAGAGGATGTGGAGGAATTAGAGCCGAGCACATCAACAAGAAATCTTGCAATGCCTCTACAGATACTGCTGTATACATCAAATATCTCAATGACGACACAATTCATCGCCTCAAGAATAAGCCCCACCTCCATTCCATCGGCATATGGCCGGATCTGCATCAGCAGCTCGAGCAGATGCTGCATCTTCACCAACATCTCCAGATCGTTGCTGAGTGAATGGGAGGGAACGGGAGCTAGCAGCATGGAATCGGAGAAAGACGAGGGGGAATTTTCGCGTTTATAAAATTGGGAGATGGGGGAAGAAAAAACAGAGCGGTAATCAAGGAATTGGAAGTAGGCTCGTACGAAGGCGGAGAAACCGTAGGACGCAACGGAGGGGCGAGCGGAGTGGTCGCGAAAGTCGGAGAGGTCGAACGGGAGGCGGCCGATGCGTAGCGCGGCGTCGGAGCAGAGGAGAACGCCATGTACGAGGAGGAGAGTCTTGAGCCCCACAACCCATGAACGCGTTCGGGTTGCGCGGCGAGTGAGCGCGCGCATGAGCGGATCAAGACAGGTGGGCGAGGTGCGTGCCCACGCAAACACTCGCCCGGCGTTCTTGTAATCGACGGAGCGCTCATCGTGGCTGGGGGGGCGAGCCCGCTGGCCGCCGCCCGCAACCCGGCTTAGGTACACACTTTGCTTGTCTTTTAACGCCGACGTTGCGCGCCTCCACCATCGTCTCGTTGACGGCGCCATTACGGCGCTCAACCTTTTTTAAGCGTTTTTGTGTCTAATCTGTATGGTTTTGGGATTCAGAGGGCGAATGAGGGGGAGAAGCGGGGAGAGAGCGCAGGGACGGTCGGGCAGCGGGAGGAGTCCGCGTTAATTTCTCTTCCTTGGTTATGGTCCGTTTACTAATTCAGGGGCATGTTACACGACGGTTTATCTACACGAATAAATAAGCGCCTCGGGCTTATATGAAGACATTTTGCGGTTTTCTTGTCATAAGGAGAAATCTTAATTAGATTAGTGGAGTTTGTGTGATGGTAGGGGCTTTATTATCAAGTCGCCGTCTCGAACTTATCTTGTTGTTATTGTCAAAACTTCTAAGCTTAATATTGTGGATTATAATATTATTATTGATAAATTTCATAAATAATTGGGAGGGATGGAAGCACAAAGTTTTATCTTTTGACCAATCATTTTTCAATTAATTACTTATATATTATTATTTGATAAACTTAATAAATATTTATCTTAAACCGATTGTTTTTCAATTAATTAATTATATCATGAGAAGCTATTTTTATTATTATATTTTAATTCTAACTCTTTATTAGCTGATTGGTGTATTAATGCATAAGGAATTAGAAGATGCATTTTATTTCAACTCAATAACAATAGCAATCTTTTTTTTTAAATAAAATCATTGGCTTAAAGGTTTTTCTTTATGTGAGGCATTTGGTAACTCGATTTTTAATTGATTTCACTTCCCTAATTTTATTAAGGTTAAAGATGCTTTAATTAATGCCATTTAATATTTTCATAAGATTGGGATGTGCTTGCTCACCGTTTACATCTTTTTTATATCATACATGTGGCTGATGAGAGTACTAATTATTTTTTGAAAGGGAAAGATTTCTATTCTAATAAAACTTTTTACCAGTTTATATATGAAAATTTGTTTATTAGAGATTGGAATAGATTGATTTGGTATAAGGAATACTCTATGAATTTGACTTTAAATTCTTGAAGAGTTGTTAATGACAACCTTAAGTTTAATGACATTGTAAATTCTAGAGGCATAAATGCTAATCTTAACCTTGTTTTATGTCTTAATAGTTTTGAGACTAATAATCATATGTTTTTTAAGTGTTCTTTCTCTCATAATTTGCTGAAGAGTTGTGCTCCTAAGCTGGGTTTTTTTTTAATTTCTTATCATTTTACAAATTTATTTATTATTCTGAAAGCAATAATAAAATTTGTAAGAGATTATTCTTTTTTAGATGTTAAATCTATTGTTTATCGGATCTAGTTTGAGAAGAATAGTAGAAATTTTAAAAAAAAATTAATAGTTTTGTTGAGATTTTTGTTAGAAATATTCATCAGCATATGAAAATGAAGTACAAAAATGGAATTTTAAGAATGGTGTTGCCAACTTTATTAGGAATTTTTATAATTTGTAATTCAAACTGATACTGCAGATACTTCACTTGTTAATTGGTGTTTTTGCTATGATGTGCTCTCCCTTTGCTATGGGTTTCAATCGTCTCTGGAATTTTCATATTATCTTATTTTTATTTTTAGTCGTCTTTGATTTGCTTCAAGATGGAAATATTTGGCTTTAAGTTTCAACCATTTAAGAAACATTTCATATAGTTTATTACTGTTTATTTGACGCTTTAATATTTTTGGAGTCTTGGATGGAGATTCTAGCTTAATTGTTGAGTTTTTCTTGAGCTTCTCCATTTCTATTCTTATTTCCTTTTTCGTTGGTTGTTTCGATTTAATGTTTAGGCTTTCTTTTTCCCCTTTTTGTTGTTTTTAAGCTGGCTCAATTTTGTTTGATGTTATGTTGTTAATTGTTTTGTTTAGCTTTTAGACTTCACAAGTTTGAGTTTCATGTTTTTGGTAAAGTTTTGTTGTAATCTTTCTGTCTATCCCTTTATACAATCAGTTGAAGTCTTTGTTTGGAATTTATGGTTGTTGTTGTTGTTCATTCTTTGTTCTCCCATGATAATGTGGATTTTAATATGAGGATTTTACTGTGTTTTCTCCTACTTGTTTCTGCTTTCACTTATAGACTTTGCTAACAATTTTGTTTAGCCAATCTTTATTGAATATTTGGAGTCTTAAAAGGGATACAACTATTATCAGCTAGTCTTTATTTGAAATTGGCGTGATCATGTTGTTTGGAAGTTTTAGATTTTTTTGTGTTTTCTCCCTCAGATAACTTTGTTTGGAGACCTTTTTTTTTTAGTACTTTGAAGACTTTGAATAATTTATTTTGGAGCGATTGTTTTGGTTTTTATTTTTAGATGATTGTTTTTAGGATTCTTACTAATTTTTCTTAATTGAGTCATATAGGACATTTTGTATCTTTGTTTTGTTTCACTAAATGCTTGGCATGACCCTCAAATTCTTAAAAAGGATTATTGACCCATGATTTCATTGCTTCTATTTGGTGGCCTTGGTTCATGGCGAAGTTGAAATTTAAAATACATTAATAATTAATTTTTTCAAATTATACATCAATCAAAATAAAAGTATATAATTCAACGGGAAATAAATTATTTCATGATATCCTATTATAAATTACATTAATGTAAGCTTGAAAAAATTAATTTCTCTTGAGATTTTGTACTACAAATGCTATGTATATTGTTGAATCTCAAAATTTCTGTGAGCTCATACAATCTAGGCAAGACCCATAGAGGAAGAAAATAGTTATGGTGGCACATTTCTTTAATAAATAAGAAGGGAAGAGAGAGAGAGAGAGAGAGAGAGAGAGAGAGAGAGAGAGATTGGTTCGTCCTCCCCTTTTTAAAGGTAATAGATCATATCTATTTAGAGAGCTCAAGATGATATCTCTTAATCTGACAGTTAGAATCAAGTAGCAGGAACCTCACAACAAGATTTTGAGGATTTGGGCTATCAAGCACCTTAGGTCAGTTAGAATCTTCTTCAGTCCATAATGAATTTATTTGTGTACTAATTTAATTCACTAATTTTTGTCTTTTTGAAAAAACTGCGAAAAAAATAAGAGATTGAAAGTACAACCATTATCCATTACCTTTTTGTACTTAATAATGTTGTATGGATATGACAAAAACGACAAAGTATGTTTTGTGATTTATTTTTCCTCCTTGGTGTATTACGCTTCTTGAAGGAATCTCACAATCTAGGATTGTAATTTTTCTGTTCATGTTGTTTTTACCTTCTTTCTTGCAATTTGAAGATACACATTAGTTATGATTACAACTCAACCAAAGAGGAATTGTAATTGTTCGGATATAGTAGGAGTTGTTGCTCTCTTATAGGGAGTAGTAACTTGCACCTCTTGACTTTACTTAGGTCGAAATCTCTTGATCTTTGATCCCTAAGTCAATTAATTAATCTCTTTGTACAGATGAGTTATGCTTCCCAAAGATGCTCTCCATTGATGTTTGATGTTTAGGTCAGGTGTGCTTTCCAAAGATGCTCTTCCCCGGTGTTTAGCAATTATGCTAGGTGAGTAAGAAAAGCCAAATGAATTTCTCCTTATGCAATGAATGGAGTGTCAAAAGGATTGAGTTCTCTCAAAATGTAGGTTTTGTCATTCGATAATCATGATTATATTACATGATTAAAAAATGTATTGGAAATTTGGAATCAAGAGGAAAAAATATTAAAAACTCCATGTGCTAGTAGCGTTGAATAATTCCACATTTTTTTGGAACTTCTTGTATCAAAGATTAATCTTCGTGTGGCTAGGGATGGGCCTCTGATTCTCGAAATTGTTGTGAAGCAATCGAACAATCATGCGAGTATACATATCAATCAATTAATATACAGATAAAAACCCACATATCGATTCCACACGGGAAGTTATCAAATTTCTTACAAACGAAGTTATAATTTACTAAACTTTTGAAGTTGTTTGAAGTGTCAGATGTGCAAATATAAGAATTTATAAAAGTATAAATGATAGAAAGCTATACTAAATTTTATGAAAGTTTTTCAGAGATGAAAGTTTCTTAGTCTTGTAACAAACTCGATGTTTTTCCTATGAAACATCACGTTATTGTTGAAAACCAAGGACAAGTCTTGTTTAGCATATGTATAGGTCATAAGAAGTGTTGAAAATCATATTACAGTTAGGGAGGCTCAACCATGCAATGTTTCCGAGGAATTCTTTAGTCATCCATCTAGGTTGCAATTTCCTAATAGAAATGTTTCTTTCACTAGGTTAAATTGTGTTATTCTTCTTGTTCTTCAAGGTGATAATTAGAAGTCCTAGATCACAAGATATTCTAATATTTTATTGAGTAAGGTTAAAAGTAAATTATGGCAAAAAAGTTAGCATATCAACATATGAAATCCAAGCATAAAGAAGACGTTCAAGGAATGAGATCCATAGGATAAACAAAGAGAAAATCACTTATCTTACGTCACAGAAATACAAACATGAGATTAATTTTGATACATGAGAAAAGAAAGCACAAAAATAGTTATTACAAGCATAAAAAAAAAAATGCAAAAGGTATAAAAATTTAAACCTGAGCCAATCGACGCTTACATTATATTGTGATCCTCTTAGTTCAATACAAGCCTTTCGTACATCTCCATCATGTAAATGCACTAAATCTCTTCTTAGAGTCTCTCCAAACTCTCAACAGAAAAATATGAAAAGAGAAAAATACAAGAAAAAAACTATCTTAGGTGAACCATAGGGAGAAACTCTAATCCCAAAAAACTCTTCTTAACCATATAGGCAAAGTCTTAAAGTTCAAAAGTGAATTTTAGGTCTTCATCTCCTTGTATAAATTAGGCCTTCAAAACTATCTTCAAACATACCAAATTTGTCAAAATGCGTATCTGGACAGACACTGACGAAGTTACATTGCGCCTGACATAGGTATGACAGAAGCCAGCTTAATTATGCCAATCTAATAGAGGATATGACATAATTATGCCAGGGGTAAACATAATTAAATCGGTCCTTTAAAATTTATAACTTCATTTTTTGGATTTGTGAAACTCGCTCGACACCTGTAACTTAGAAAAGACGATAAACATACCCTTCAAAATCATAAAATTATGATAAATAAGAAACAAAGTGGGAGAATTTAATCAGAAAAAAAAACATAACAAATTTTAGCATATTAGTTCCCCCAAACTTCTCCATTATTTACGCTCAAGTATTCTCATATCTAAAACGGGACTAAGTTGTTTGTGTGACTCTCATGAGGAACTTTTTGATTATTTAACAAGATTATATTAGTTTAATGGAAAATGTGCAAATATCATTTCAGGTTGGTATAATTTCTAAC